CCTTTTTTTGTTTCCCGCGCCTCCCAAACCAAAAACCTCTTTGGGTCCAACCCTAATAAAACTCACAATTAGTTTGTTCTTGGCCACTCGAAGTGAACTGGAGAAGATAGAAGAAGCAGCAGCAGCAGGAGGAGGAGGATGTTCTATTCGCAGACGTTCTTGGCTCGGAAGGGTCCCCTCGGCACCGTCTGGTGCGCTGCCCATCTGCAGCACCGTCTCAAAAAGTCTCACTACACCTCCACTGATATTCCCTCCACCGTCGGTATGTATGTCTCATCTCATCAGCAACTCTTATTTATTTATTGTTGTCTAATTTCATTTTTAGATTAAAAAGTTCTGTCTTTTTTCTTAATTGGTTGAATGTTATGATGTAATCTTCTTTTTCTTTCAAGAAACTTTAAGAATCAACTTAACCCATTTCATTTATTTGTAAAGAATTTCAACCGATTGGATGCTATTTCTTGTAATTTCATTCGAATGGAAATGCTTCATGGCTAAAAATCCCATCTTTTCTTCGAAATAGGCTTGAAAGAAAAAAACTTTTAGCTTGTTATGCTACCCTAAATTGGATTTGGCTATTGAATTTGAGAATGATGGTATGTTGGTGATCCAATCCAGTGCAAAAAATCATCATCATTACTTGAGAATTAATTTGACATTGAATCCTGATTGATTGTCATACAGAGCGCATCATGTACCCAGACATCCCCATTGCACTGAGGATGTCAGGCCACCTTCTATTAGGTGTTGTACGGATATATTCCAAGAAGGTTGATTATCTCTTCCATGATTGTCATATCATCCTTGTTGGTTTGAGTAAGGCCTTTGATGCCAAAAATGTTGATTTGCCGGATAATGAAAACCAAGCTCCAGTTTATGCTATTACTCTGCCCGAGACATTTAACCTTGATGCTTTGGCACTGGATGATGATATATACACTGAGGGGTAGGCTTTTTCCCTTAAGTCTTTATTTTTCTCCTGCCTTCTTATTCTGCATATTAAGATGGCATTAAATTTTGCTACTCAGGAGCCCAGATAATCATCTCAGAAATGAGGAAGATATCAGACTACCAGGTTAGAAATGAGCTACTATTTGCCTTTCTTTTATATGCCGGTTTGTTGATATATTCAAATTGTAACTGCTCCGAGGTGGGCTTCTTCTATCATCTTGCAGACCAAATTCCTACTGGAGTAAATCCTTATATTGCCATAACTTTTGATGAGGTTAGTCATTTCTCTTCTATCTGTTAAAATTGGAGTCCTCAATTGCTCCGTGTTGATCAATTATTTGCTTTTGGCCATGTGAATTGCAATTTCACCTATGGCTATGGAAACATCTGTTATATGTAGGACATGATGGATGTATTGCATTCAGAAGCAGCTCCTGAATCAGCTCCTGAATCAGCTCCTGAATCAGGAGTCCAACCAATGGATGAGGAGTATGTTCCTTATTTTATCTGAAAACTCTATTTTGAATCTTTAAGAAAGAAAATTTTACATGGAAGCATGCTTATGATGATTTCGTTTTGTTTTTCCTCTAACAATTTCAGTGTCATTCTTCAATCTCCCATTGGTGGTAATCTCCAGAATGAAGAACTGAATGCAACAGCAGCTTTTCAAGATCCTGGTCCAACTAATGAGACAGAATTGCCTGGCACAAGCATGGCTTTTGGGGATACAGGTCCAAGTAGCCAGACAGAAGTACTTAGACCAACTATGGATTTCTACAATAGTCATCCTGGCAATCAGACAGAAGCACCTAATATCACTCGTGATGACAGTGTCACTCAAGATTTTCCAGAAATTGAAGTTAGGCGTGATACAGTCCATGATATTAGCACTGAAGGCCTACCTCTAGGGCATCCAGATCAGAGAAATGATGCGGGTGAAATTAGAGTATCTTTGGAACAAATTTTGGATGATAAGGAGATTCATACTCCAATTCTCAGGAGTATTTCAACTTCTGGAGGAGAGTCTATACCATTTCATGAGCACTCTGGTCCACCAACTTCTGCTGCTTTTCAAGAGTCTCCTGGGAATTTGTCTGGTGGGTTCTTGGTTCTAGTCTAATTGTTGGATGGAAATGTTATTTCTGCCTCAATATGCTTACCTTTTGCGATTGAATAAAGTTTTCAGGCTTTTATTGTTTCTTTGTCCCAGGACATAAATCACCTCAACTTGCCATTCAACCCTCTCCACCAGTACAGCAGCCAAGAAAGAGACGGAGAACACAGGGGAGGCTCTTCGATACGGAACTAGTCTTGTCTAATAGGTACGTTTGGCAGGATGATATGTATGGCATTCTTGTTTTTTTATGCCAAATGTTGATTTATAGGAAAATGGATAGGTCTATGAAGCAGGCACTTGAAGATTCTAGTGATCTAGTACGGAAGAGAAGGAATGTACGTGCCTCTACTTTGGCTGTATGGAAGTCAAACAACATTCTCAGAAAGGGACAATTATTTCATGGGGCTTCAGTAACTGGTAAGACGGTCCTTCATCTCCAGATTTTTTCTTGCATCTTGGCTTCAAGGTTTAAGGAATAGGTTTAATGAGAACATGGATACTGTGTAATTGCAGGGTTGTGTGTTGATGTATCTGAAATGTTTGAGAGGAACTACCACTTTGCAAAACCCAATTTAGCGGTACTACAGGAAGCTGTTTCAAGTCCTAGGATTTTACAATCTCCTGCTCCAAGCACAGAGCCCAGGGATTTGCAGATTCCTGCTACTGCAACTGCAACTGGCACTGAATCTAGCCCAGAGCATAGGGTTGGAAGACCTCAAGCTTCAGTGCCTGAAATCGACAGGGAAACTGAATATCTTCGAGATGATCAAGGCAGTGCTTACAACGATATTTTACATGAATTTGAGCCCTCCCCATCTAAGCCAATGTGTTCTGCAAGGGATGATTCATCTCCACTATCAACTAACAGTTTAAGGTCAGAGACGGTACCTTGGGTACTTCCAACACCAGATGCTGCAGCATCCACTGGAACTCATGGATCTGAGTTTGAAACACCAAGGGCATTCTTGGATGAGGGACTGGTTCTGGGAAGCACGGGTCTTTCAGATATTCCTGAGATGCTGTGTTCTGCAGAAGCAAATGTAAGCTTCAATATCTTGCTGCTTTTGAAATGATATAATGATGTGCCTTTGTTTTCAAGGATCTCATGCATCATCTTTTTAGATTATGCGTTTAATTTCCTTGAGTTATATTGTAGGATCTTTACTTTCTTGAAGATGATAATAATTCCCCAACTGGTACGTGAATACCCTTTTAATTTTATAGTTTTTTTTCCTAGTTCATATGCATGAAAATAACTTTTGTATGCCTGTTGCAGAATTCCAAGCAAGTCAAGGAGTAGATTCCTTGTCTGTGAGAACTAGGTACTTCTTCCTGAATGAAAGAAACTTTGTCTTTTAGGGCAAATGCCTTGAGTGGCCCCTAATATATATTCTGCATTTCTTCTATACAGAGCAGTGGCTCAATATTTGAAGAAACAGTCGCCTATCACTGCTATCCCGGAAAACTCATCTGGATATCTTAGTTTGAATAAGATCTTAGAAGGAAAAACAAGAAAATTATGTGCTAGAATGTTTTATGAGACATTGGTATGTTTCAACTCAACCCTCTAATATACGCTTGCTTCATTTGGATGAACATCTGTTAATTCTTTCAAACATAAGGTTCTCATAAATGTTCCCTATTTTAAAAGCCATCAAGAAACCCATTTCAACTTCATTGTTATATAATGCCTTCCTGATATTCATTGACCAAATACAGGTTTTGAAGAGTTATGGACTTATTGATGTACAACAAGAAAAAGCTTACGAAGACATCACTTTGAAGTTGACTGCAACTCTATCTAAGGCCCAGATATAAGGTTATTATATTTAATTATTCTGGTGGAATAGCTTTTATGTTTATTGCATTATTGGTAATACTCTAAGGGCCAATTTGTGCAAGCTTTGTTTTATTGTTGTAAATAATAATATCTTGTTATTTAGCTGTTTCTACTTGATCTACCCTTTTATCTACAAATTTAGACTCATATGCTAAGCTCTGTTTTCTATTTACAGAATGAAGTTAACTACAAGTTGCGAACAGGAACAAGAAAGGAGCTTTCGGTTGGCAGAAATACAAAAATTTTGATCTTCAGTGGATACGTGCATAGTAAATGCTAAATTATTGGAACAAAGTATCAATGCAAAGCATAAATATATGGTGGCAATTGCATTCATTTCGGGACCTGAAGAAAAACAAGCACATTTGAGTTTTGTTTGCTATTCCTCACAAAAATGACCACAGAAACAAACAGAAACCAGTGTGCAAGTGCAAAGGGAGATAGGTTCAAGGAGCAAGAGAGACCAGCACTTTGTTCAAACAAGCACAAAAGCAAATTAAAATTGAAGGCCAAGAGAGCTCCAATGGTAGTCCGACTTCCCTCTTGGTTCCAATTTGTCAAGGTGATTTTGATGCAAGGAAATATTGGCTCCAACCCTCTCTAGTTTATTGTTTTCTTGAGATTTGAACAACATTTGCCACCATTCATCAGTCATCCTATTAATTTCTTCATTAGATGGTTTGCATACCAGCAATATAGACAAATTCATAGAGATGGTTTGCATACCAGCAATATAGACAAATTCATAGAGATTTAGGGTTTTATTTGAGATTGTTGTGTGGTGGCGGTAGGTTTTCGTTTTTTATTGTGACAAAGGTACGTAAAGTATTAATTAAAATTACTAAAAGTATATAAAATATTAATCAAAATTAATTATAAATTTATAGTTTTAAATAAAGTATTGTGGGAAAAAGTGCTTGGTATGATAAATTCCAAACAAAGCCATTACATTGGGAATGTAAAGCCATTCCATGTTCAAATATCAGTTCTGAGAAATCTTGCTGAAATTTTCTCCAACAATAAGCTAAATTTTATGCCTTCTCATTCTAGTTCTAGATAAACAGAGCCAAATGAGGCAGATAAGCTATACTTCTCTGTTGTCGAAGATTAGATTGATCAAAATCAGACGGTCTAGGACATCGCAAAATTAACTGTGCCAGCTTCCATCATGTCTATTTGTGTCAACCAAATCTGCACCAGCTGAACAACATAACAATAGCAGGCGAGATGCGATTGTTCCTTATACTTTCTTCTCATCAAAATACCACTCAATAATATTCCATTCGATTCTGTTGCAACTTAACTGAACAGTCATAAAAGTCAGACTCAAACTAGAATCAAAATGTATCAGATTGATGGGATGAGGTTGAGGAGCAGTACGACGACAGCTTGTTCTCATTGACACTGACATATATACATGTGTAACAGTGCCTGAGAATGAGGTACTACATGTATTTGGTAACAATGATGGCAGCTACCATGCCTGAGATACAGACCCCAAAAGATAAAACATAAAAAATAAAAAGGGAGCAAATGCTATAAAGAATTAAAGAATCATTTATTATCATCGTAATACTGACACCTCAAACAGTCAAGTGCATACTGATACATTGATGCTAGTAGATCCTATGACCAGAGAACAAAGGCGAGTACCTTCTCGCCAAAAGTGTTGGCAGGAGGCCATAATCATTCTTCTCAACGGTGCTCCATTGAATCATTACTGCCCTGAATATCATCCGTTATCCATGATCCATGACAAGGTTTTGAAGGGAGGAGCTCCAATTCAGAGTAGGCACCAAAAAATCTTATTTTTCCAACAAAGCAATCCACATCATGTTGGTGCCCTTGACATCTCCATCACACGGAGGACCGAGGATGTGAATCATTGCACATACACGAGGGGACTGGATACTTTGTCACGTCCTTTTCAGCTTTGTTAGTCCTGAGTTCTGGCTGTCCTAAAGATTCTCGGTGCAACTGCTTTATGATTCTGTTGAACTCTGCCTCAGGAAGAGACGAGTTCAAAAAATAAGGAAGCATCTGTCTTTTGTTAGGAGTTATGTACTTCTTGTGCCCTGCATATGCCCTGTGTCCCTGTATCAATAAATAGAATTCTAGTTTTAAGGACAACATCCAAAAAGAACATAAGCATCATTGTCAAGATATAGATGCACGAAGAAGAAGAACCATGTTTGAAAGGATGCTGGAAGTAAAAGAAAAATAAATTGAGACGATAAATTGCTATTCGTGATAGAAACTAAATGGATATACCTGAAGTGCGTGGCCCATATTTCCCCCATGAGATGGCATGAAAACATCACTTTTCTCGGAAACTATATAGTCAATGGCAGCCATAAAAGAAGCCCTTTTAGCAAATGGTTCAAGTTCACCAGGCAATGAAAGGTCTTCCTTGTTGTAGAAATGGGGAAATTCTCTGGTTAATGGCAATAAGGCTTCCTTCCCACCAAGTGGTTGCCCTCCAGCCCAGTATATTTGTGTACTTTTCGGAGCCCCCAAAGCTTTGAGCAGCCTAAAGCAGGCAACATATGAGCTCAGTTGAATATTATTTCAAAAGAAAATAGATTTGATAGCTTATATTCATCTGTTGAATTGATTCATTACCTGGTCACTTCCAAAGCATTCAAGGGGCAGAGTCCTGCAAGTTTTCTTTGATGGTGACTCATGTGTGATCTTCCGGTTAGAAGCTCAGGTCGTTGTTTTCTCTCATTGTTTACCATCTCATCATACTCCGTGCTCAGACCAGGAAGGCAACCAGTCCTCACCCAGACATCCTTTTCCATTCGAAGATGAAGAGCAAGGTAAGGGCCCTTGTTCCTCATCCTTTCTGCAAGTTTATTACCAAGTTGAAGAATTGATGGAGCAAACCTAAGGGCTTGAAATGCCACCTGAAGTAAACCAAGTAAGAAATTTGGAATCTGTTATGTCAGAAGAATTGGAATTATATGCAGAGACTGAAAAGAAGAAGAAGAAGAGGAGTAGAAATAAAGTATTACAAAATCACACGACAAAAAAAAAAAAAAAAAAGTACCTTGCAACGAAGCTTTTGAAGATCAGAAGGTAGATCTTTAGAGAGCCTTGAATCCAGACCTCTTAAAAGCAAAACCCCTTCTCTGTTTATCTGTTAAGCACAGAAAAATGCATTGGTAAAGATACAAGATGCATGCTTGGTTGGTTGAGAAGTGCTAATGCTATGAGAAAGAAAGAAAGAAAGAAAGAACTAAATGAAGGAAACTGTTTCATTGGCAACATTACCCGCTTAAGATAACGTGCACGAATCCACTGGGGTGAGGCATGGTGTGGAGTTCGTTTCTCCTCCACAGGTCTTGTCATTATGTGAGTCGAAGGCAACGATGAAACTATATGCACATCATCGGCAAGAACCTTCTTGAAGTGCGCCAAATCAAATATATCAGCAAATTCACTGCAAACGAGAGCAGTGGATGAAGGAAGCATTTAATTTTTAACTAATCTACATCTTCTGTTCTGTGCTCCAGAAATGGAGAATCAAAAATCAAATAAATGATTTACCCAAAAAAATTCAAATAAATGAACCAATATAGTAGCATTCCAATACCAATACTAGCTAGAGCCTAACTAGAGCAGGTAAATGAAAGTAAAAATCAATAACAAAAATACTTAGTAGTACCAACCTTTTATCTCAAATCCAATCCAATTATGAGAATCAAATGAAATGAAATAGTAGTAGCAGTAATATCATGCAAGTCTGTTTTCATTTACCTTTCATCACCCCAGATGACATTGACTTGTAAGATGGGAACAACTAAAGCAGCTCCAAGAATCCTAGCAATCACCACAGCATCAACAATCTGATTCCTCTGCTGATTCATGCCACCCGAAACCACCACTAGCAGATAATTTCTCCTGTCCTTGACAATCGCTGCACTGTCCCTCCTATACTCCTCACTGAATTGAATACAGGGTCTGTATCCCATCCCATCTGGCTGCGTCCAAAACTCATAATACCCACTTGCATTTACAGAAGATGCATCTTCCTTGTTGGAAACAAAAGCAAGCAGTGATTTTGAGTGCCAGTTAGAGAGCAAGTCTTGAGATTGAGATTCAGTTTCCAAAGAAGGAGACAAGGGGAGGATTCCAGGGTCAACATCGAAATCCAAGGCCAACTTGAACATGCCAAAAAAAGCAAAGAAAAAAAGACCCAACAGCCAAACTCTCGACCTTCTACACCACAACAACAACAACAACAACAACCTGTTGGAGTTGTTTTTCTTAGGCGAAAGGAGGAGAGACTGGAGGGAAGAAGACGATAGAGAGGTGATGATCTGAGACGGAACAGAAATGTAGGATTGCCTCTTGCTGGGTTTAAAGGTGTTTGATTTTGCCATTAAAGTTAAAGAAACAAGTGCTTTATTGAACAACAAGGAGAAGAAGAAGAAGAAGAAGGGTCAAGAGAGGAAAGAGTAGGGAGATGAACATGAGCTGTTCATTCCGTCTGAAACAGGGGACAGAGCAGGATTCAGGAACGGGGAATGGTGGTTTTGAATTTATATTTAAATATATATAAATGGACCGCCTGCTTAAGCCTTTTAATAATATATGCAACTACATGCGTATTTCTTTTTCTTTTTTTTTTTTAATTTTTAATGAGAGTGCTTTATTCTCTAATTCAATAAAAATAATGTATATTAATTTATTTAGATTAAAAATAAATATTTTTAAATATTAATTATTAAATTTAATATTTTATTTATATGCGTTACTTTTTATATTAAATTATTAAATTTAATTTTTTAAATATTTAGTAAATAATATTTTTAAATTAAAATTCCATTCTCTAG